TCTTTACTGATCATGCACCACTGATGTTCAAGGTTCATATGAGAAAGTGGAGAGCGTTCTTAATCCTTAGGTCTGATGATCATCGCAGAAAGGAGTCCTTAGAACTATGTTTTCCAGACTCCTGTCTAAAATTACTGAAAAGAAAACAACTGGCTCCAAAACTATCTTGCCAGAGCTGGAGAGGGCTTAAATGTCCAAGAATGACAAAGACCGAAGTGGGAACACTTTTAAGGAAAATTAACCCTCCTATATTAGTTTGGCTGGCAATGGTTGTGTTTCAGGAGCATATTCTTTAGCATGTTTCTCAGATGCAAAGAACTGAAGGCGCTGGTATCGCTTTCCAGATGACCTTTTTAGTCCATTTGGTTATGCAATTCTCTTCCTTCTCAGTATGCAAATTAGGCTCTTATAATTGTCAAGCCGAAAATAAAATGACTCTTACGAGCTCATTTCTCATTGTTGTGAGAGGAGGAAAAGAATGAAATTCTAACTAAAAGAGAGAGTGCTCATTTTTTGTTTCTTCAGCTAGGAAGGGCAAGAATAAGAAAGAAGAAGTCTTCTGCAAAAGACTGTTGAAAAGGCTATGAGAAACCTGTCTGCTACTGCTTACTGCTGTAGATCCAGTCAACGAAGCCTTAATGTGCCAAAAAGCTTCTTTTGTGGAAAGACCGATCACTTGAGAAAGGACTGTCCTAAATTTGCTAAATCTGTTGCAAAAGAAGGGTAAGTACCCTGTTTTTAGTGCCCCTGTTGTGAAGTTAATTAACTTCAGTCTCCTAAACAAACACTTATTGGAGATGGATCTGGTGGCCTACCGCTCAATATAAGTTTTGCAATTGCAGGGCTGCCGTCAACTACAAGAATAAGCCAAACTGATGGTGAAGATACGTCTATGTGGGAAATGGGAATTTCCGGTTGAAGTTAGAGGCAATTGGACCATTTTTAGAATTATGTTTATAGTAACTGGTTTATTTTTTGGATCTTATAGATACTTTGTTAATTCCTCTTTTAGAAAGAATTTGATTTTCCTGTTTTCCTTTTTGGACACAATCTGGTTTTCATTGTTTCTTTTTGGAGACAGTGTATTACTTTATCTATGAAGTCAAAAGTTTTGGGTACTGGTTGCTTGAATGAAATGTTGATAATCCTAATATATGTTTAGACATGAAAATGACTAGCTTACAATGAAAACCCTGCATGTTACCTACAAGAGGTACAAAAAGAAAGTTTGATATATTGAATGAACTCCACGTACTTTGGCATACGACGTTTGGGTCATGTGTATCCAAATCAAGAATTGACGTCTTGTTTCCTGGGATGGTATCTTAGATACCACTTGATTACACCAGGTTGGATCTTGTATTGAGCTTAATTAAAAGGAAAACCAGATCTAAACAAAGTAGACTAGGTGCCATTTCGGTCAATCCAATGTTTAGAAGCTAATTCCATACAGATATTTGCGGTCCATTCATATTGCAGCTAGAAATGGCGCAAAGATATTTTATATAAAATTCATTGGTGATGGGGGACTATTCTCATTAATGGTACTGTATATCGTTCATTCGTGAAAAAATCTGAGTCTTGATGTTTTTTAAATTTTATTAACCCGAAGTGAAATCAAACAAGGAAAGAAATTAAATCTGTTCGATCGACCGGGTGGTGAATATTATGGTAAATATGACGTTCAGGCGAACAACGTCTAGGACCTTTTGCGCGTTTTCCTATCAGGAAATGTTGGAATTGGTCCCTCAAATAATACAATGCCCTGGTAACTCCCAGCTAATGAATGGTGTAATCTGAGAGAACGTAAAATAGGACTTCTAATGGAATATGGTAAGGAGTATGATTAGTCATGTCTACTTTATCCAGAGTCTCTGTGGGGTGAACGTTAAAGAAGCAGCTTTATTATTCCTCAAATAAGGATCCATCTAACAGTGTTGCCTAAAAACAACCTTGTGAACTTTGGACTGGACGTAATATAGTCTAAAGCAATCTTCATGTTTGGGGATTCTAGCCTGAAGCAAGCCTTACAAGGCCGAATGAAACAAACTGGACTTCCAAAACTATTAGCAGCTACTTTGTTGATATTCTGAGCTGTCTAGGGTGTTATAAACAAGGATTTTTATAATCCTACTTCCAGAATAACCTTTTTTTTTTTGAAACGAGAATTGTAACATTTTTGAAGGAATGTTTGATTTTTGGAGAAGAAGAAAATAAGAAAGTAAACATTGTCTTTCGAAGAGGAACAATAAGGATGATTCGTTCTCATTCCTTTTGTTGTTTCTGATAGGCGTAACAAACTCCAGTTGCTCCTGTCGCTAATTCAAGATCCAATTCCAAGTAAATGCTAATTCTTCCCTCAAGACAAATTTCAATCACCTCAAAATTAAGAGCCTGTTCCAAATGCATTGAGGAGATTACTAGGAGAGCGAAGAAATGCTAATTCCATATGAATTATAGTAGTGTTTCTTCAGGAAACATGAGGATTACGTATACATGATAGAGATGAAAATTCCAGTTAGTTTTCTATCATGCATGCAGAGTTCTGAACTCTCAAAGTGGATTGAGGCAATGAACGAAGAGTATAAGTCTATGCAAAAGCAACAGTTTGGGAACTTTGTTTCAATTTACCTGAAGGAAAGAAACTCCTGGTTGCAAATGGATATTTAAAACCAAAGGGATTCTCAAGGTAATGTGGAAAGATATAAAAGCACGTCTTGTAGCAAAGCTTTACTCAAAAGGAAGGGATTTGACTATCAAAGAAACCCTTCTCTTCCCAGTTCTTCGAAGGATTCTTTTAGGAGCAATCATGGCCTAGTGTGCAAATCTTGATCTTGAGCTTCCATCAAAATGGATTTTAGACTGGCGTGTCCCTCAATGGCGACATTGATGAAACAAATATATATGGGTGCAACCAGAAAATTTTGTAATTGGAGATCCAAAACATCTGTATGCAAATTAAAGAAAATCTCATTTATTGGACTCAAGCAAAGCTTCCTCGTCAATGGTACTGTTAGTTCAACCAAGTAATTGTCTCGTTTGTTATTGAGGCAAATGCTGTTGAAAATTATGTGTACCATAAGTTCAGTGGGGAGTAGGTTAATTTTTTTGGTCTTATATCGGTGGATGACATATTCTTGCTACTAATTGTAAAGTCTTGCTTGGCATGAAACCAAAGTTTCTTTCAAAGCATTTTGAGATGAAAAATTTAGGTGTAGCCTTCTTTTGTTTTAAGGTTTAGATACATCTGAGACCGTTCTCGAGGTATTCCTTGATTTATCGACGAAAAGAGCTATATTGATAAAGTGCTCTAGAGATTAGGTATGCCAGAATTCTAATGAACGCATATGGATACTCCTTATTGCAAAGCTGATAATTTAGTAATGCAACATGTCCAAGAGTGAACTTGATATTCGGAAATGCAAAAGTTCTATGCGTCAGCTGTAGGAAAGTCTTATGTATGTTCAAGTTTGTACTCGTCCAGACATTTCTTTTATAGTTGGCATGTTAGGTAGATATCTTAGCAATCCAGGAATGGATTATTGGAAAGCAGCCAAAAGAGTTATGAGATATCTTCAGAGGACTAAGGGACATATGCTCACATATAGGAGATCAGATCAGCTTGAGATCATTGGGTATACTGATTCTGATTTCGTTGGATGCCAAGACAGAAGAAAATCCACATCTGGCTATGTTTTTCTATTGGCTGGTGGTGCTATTTCTTGGAAGAGTGTGAAACAAACTCTAGTGGCAACCTCCACCATGGAATGCTAATTTGTAAGCAATCTTATGAGGCATCCAATCAAGCTATTTTGGCTGAGAAACCTTGTACTGGGCCTGCGTGTAGTAGGTGTGAATACGAAAGACCACTGAAGTTGATATTGTGAACACGCAGGTCAGACCGTTTTATTCTCGCAACAACAACAGGAGCTTCTATCTTCGATCAAACACATTGAGATTAAGTTCTTGGGCTAGTGAAGTGAGAAGTGGTTAGCAGAGGTGGACAGATTACTCCTTAGAGCATATTGGGAACAACTCTATGATTTGCGGATACCGCTTACAGAGGCAGT